ATAATTTGGACGGTGAGAGTATCATGTCAATTTTTATATATTTTAAAGTTAATTTTTTAAATAATTTAATGTATTTAAAAAAATTAATTTTTTTAAATATTAACATCAAGACTTGAATTGTATTTATAGTTGCCATTTCATATCACTTTTTATACAATAGCTCATTAAAAATATTAAATTATTATAATTAAATTAATCTTAATTGATATTTTACATAATTTAATAATTATATTGACACATAATATAACACTTTAAAAAAATATATAATAATTATTAAATAATATTATATATTTTTTAATGATAAAATATTTTAAAAAATCATATTTTTTTTCTAATTATCCAAAAAAATCACAAATAAAGCCTAAATTCTAAACCTGTCGTATAAAACACTACTCATTTATGAATGGAATCAAATTTTTAGGTTCTACCATTACATAATTTATGGGCAAGAAACTCGAATGGAAAAAGGGAAAATTATTCCATTTTTCACTTCATGGAATCCGAATTCGATTCTACTTTAAAATTCCATTTTGATACCTTCCAGAGGCCAAATAAATATAAACCCCCCAAAATATATACCGCGCTTTCTTCCACGTGGCACAACATTTATCCTCCATCTGTCTCTGACTAATTGCGCCGGCACCGACTAATTCTTTTTTACCCGCTACTCTTGCCCACATACAAACACACCCCCCGGCGCTCTAATTCCCGTTAACAACCGCCTTCCGTCAATGTTAATTGCCTCAACAAAATCCAACAATTTGTTTGCATTTTGACTTGGCCGGCCGTCTTCCCTTCCCTCACCGCCGCCGTATCTACCGGAAAAAAGTTGCCGGATTCCTTCCTCCTCAGTTACGCTTCCTGACATTCCTGGGAGTTATTCCTTTGCCCTATAAATCGAATAACTGTCTCCCAAACTGCATTCTCTCTTTGACACGCAATGCAGGAGATCGTCAAAACTAAGGCCTCGACTGCCATCGCCAACGCCGTGTTTTTCTCCCATGTCATCATTCTGCGCTCCCAGACTTGATTCCTTATGCATCCTTTCTGCTGCGTCTCCAGCGTTACGGATCACTCACCGGTTAAACCTGTCCCGCAAGACATCACCATGCCTCCGCCTGCAACCACCATGACGGCGGACACCAGATCCGAATCCACCCGATCCGCGGCTCTAGTTCACAATCAAACGAATAACCATCACGGTAATAGCGCGGATTTAAATCGACTGAGCCAGAGAAATAAAGCGGCGGTTAGGGAGGCGACTCCGCCACCGGCGGATGCGAAGATTAGTGACCTCGTAGGGATTGGGATATCTGGAGTACTGTACAAGTGGGTCAATTACGGGAAGGGATGGAGGCCGAGGTGGTTCGTTTTGCAAGATGGCGTGTTGTCGTATTACAAGATTCATGGACCTGACAAGATCGTCGTTAACCAAGAGACCGAGAAAGGTTGCAAGGTTATTGGCGAAGATTCCATGCGCATAATCTCCGGCCACAAGAATTCTCACTCTAATTTCCATCCCCAGCGGAAGCCCTTCGGTGAAGTCCACCTCAAGGTCTAGAAAACAGCGATTTGATGCATTATTTTGGGTTTAATTTTGTTTCATTTTGATAATAATTTCGATTTTGATTGCTAATTCACCAGGTTTCGTCGATCCGAGAGAGCAGATCAGACGACAGGAGGTTTTCGATATTCACAGGAACCAAGAGGCTTCACCTGCGAGCTGAAACTCGGGAGGATCGTGTGGCTTGGATGGAAGCGTTGCAGGCTGTGAAGGACATGTTCCCGCGGATGTCCAACAGCGAGCTAATGGCGTCTATGGACAACGCGGCAGTGGCAGTATCCACGGAGAAGCTGAGGCAGCGGCTGATGGAGGAGGGCGTTAGTGAAGCTGCCATCCAGGACAGCGAGCAGATCATGAAAACTGAGTTTGCTTCAGTGCAGAATCAAATGGTGCTCCTTAAGGAGAAGCAGCGGGCCCTCATAGAAAATCTTCGCCAGTTAGAGGTATATGTAACGAAAATTAGAAACCAACAATATGCTGCCAATCATCCAATTCGCAATTCTACTTGATCTTCTCCTTGCTGACTCCGATGCATTCAATTGATTGATTCTTTGAAAGCAACGACCAGAACAAATCCGTTCCAATGGGTTTGTGTTTTTTTGGTTGTCATGCTACTGCTGTTTTTTTTTTTTTTTTTTTTCGTTTTTTTTTTTTTTTTTTTTCTGTCGAGATTTATGAGTGGGTAGTGTTTTAGAATTTGATGAGCGGTGTTCTTGGAAGGGAAGTGGAGAAGGTGACTCTGAGGAACTGTAACTATGTTTTATTAAATTAATGGGAAAAAAAAATCTTTTTATAAGATGTTAACTTTCATTTTTAAATCTTTTGAATAATTTTCTTACTCAAAAGTTGAGTTTTTCCAACAAAGTGAAGATGTGCCTTTGATGTCCTTCAATTAATATGTTTTGATTTGCTACTTGCTCATTTATGGTTCTTGGTTATAATTTGCGTTACTGAAGTTGAGAACATTTATGCTTACATCTTTATCTTTTGAGGGGGTTAATTAAATACTAACTGCAATGTTGGTAGATTGGAAATGAATTTAAGTCACTGGTCATGATAGATTTTATTGTGGATTTTATGGAAATATTGAGAATGGAATTTGTGGTTTGAAAGTGGTGGTATGACAGTGTCTTTGTGGGTTTGGTGAGAGTAAGTTGTTCGACCTGCATTGGAGTGCTGTGAAATTTATGCTTATTGGATGAAAGAGTTTAAATTACTCTGACAAGTTGTGAGTTGAAGTCAGAGGTCAAATTGTGTTGGTTATTGAGATTCTGTTTTGCTTTATCTGCCCTTCTATGTCATTACAATGGTCCTTAGAATCTGAAAACTTAAATGGTTATATTACCCCTCAATTTAGTCCCTTTAATGTCACAGTGTTATCCATGCAAAATTGTATTGAGGTACATTCTGTAATTCAATCATTCTGTCTATCATATATAAAATGAAAGAACAAAATTAGCCAGTTTTTTTTTATCTTACGTACCTTAACTATCCTTCTAGAGGTTCGGCTTTTGAAACAGGATTTACATCTTATTTTTGCACTCCTTCTAAGAAACTGGTATTTTATTTATATTTTGTAGACAGAAAAGGTTGATCTGGAGAATACAGTTGTTGATGAGAGCCAACGACTGTTCAATTATGAAGGGGGCACCTCTACATTAAGGCAAGACAAATTCAGTGGTAAGTTGTTTGTCAAAAGGTTTATTAGCAACTACTGTCTCCCTTATTGGTGGTTACAATCAGCTTTTAAGTTGGCTCTTAGCTGAACTTGTTGCTTTCATTCTCTTGACAATGATCCTAGGCATTTGGGGGTTTATTTGTTTATTATAATAACAAAGATATTATGTTGATAAAGAAATTCAAGTTTGGTTTCTGTAGTTCTGTTGATATCCTATCTGTTAAAGTCTTTCCATTTTTGTTTTCTCTTCTGTTTTCTATCGTGCATGAAATTAATGTATGCCAAGAAATCCAATTCTAGGGGCCTAGTTGCCTCTATAAGTCTTCTGATGATTGCAACTTTGTTTTCAAGGCTTTTTTTTTCTGTATATATCACTTTGGTCTGATTTTCATTTATTAATTGAGTCTGGACTGGATAAACTGGTGCTTTCTCTGGTTTATGAGTGCAACTTTGTTTTCAAGGCTTTTGCTTTCTCTCTAACATATTTTTCACAGAAGGAAGTTTGACCGAGTCAGATGATGATAATGAAAGAGTTGATGCTGCTGAAGAAGAAACTGATGAAGAGGACAATGCTTTCTTTGACACTCGTGATTTTTTGTCATCAAGTTCTTTCAAAAGTAATGGCTCCGATATCCGGACATCATCTTTCTCTTCAGATGATGGCGGTCTTAATGCAATTGAATCTGAGGATGATGTTGATCCTTCTATAAGATCAGTTGGAACCAACTATCCTCATATCAAGCGGCGTAAAAAGTTGCCTGAACCTATTGAAAAGGAGAAGGGTGTCAGTCTGTGGTCCATGATTAAGGATAATATTGGGAAGGATCTCACAAAAGTTTGTCTTCCTGTTTACTTCAACGAGCCTATTTCTTCCCTGCAAAAATGTTTTGAGGATCTGGAATATTCATATCTCATTGACCGCGCATGTGAATGGGGAAAAAGGGTGAGTTTGTGAGAACTTAATGAGGTTTACTTTATTTTAGAAAATGTATGGTACTTGCAATAAAACTTTTCCTGTTATGGTGCTGCATTGATATGAATCTCAGTTTGGGACCATATTTCTAACTTCAAAGCCAATGCAAAATAAGAAATATTTTCTGGATCTTATTGAGAAATAAGTCATCTAGGGAATGGACCACTTAAAAAAAAAAAAAGGATCATTAAGTTTCCCATTGAATGGAATCCATTTTTTCCATCCGTGATCTCATGTTTGTGATTCTGGTTATTAGTCGCTTCACACTGCATTGCCACTTCGACAGTTGAAGGTGCTCTGGAATATCATGAATTGCAAATGAAATACTTTAGGGTAATTTTTGAGAAGTTGATTTTATCTTTTTATTTAGATCTCCTTGATCTGGATATTCTGGCTGCTCTAATGCTGATATCTGGGTTTGGAAAATAATCCTCCCATGCATTTTGTGTGTCACAGGATCCATTGAAGTTATGCCCATTATCTTTTTGAGCTATATTGGGTCCATTAATAGTTGTACACCCATTCAATCATGCAGCATTTCCTTTGAAAAATTGCAGGGCAATGACCTCATGAGGATTCTTAACGTGGCTGCTTTTGCTGTGTCTGGATATGCTTCAACTGAAGGAAGAATTTGCAAACCATTTAATCCATTATTAGGGGAGACATATGAGGCTGACTATCCAGATAAAGGCTTGCGCTTTGTCTCAGAGAAGGTTTGTTCTCAAGCCTGAAACTGTTGAATTATACTGAAGGCATATAGCATTGAAGCTGGTGCAATTAGTACATCACTGTTAAATATGTTGGGTGTCCAAAGAAGAAATGAAGCTGAGGCTTCTCTTTTAATTAAAAACATTAGAGATTAAAGTTATTTATTTGATGCTCACAGGCTCATCTAACAGGTAACAGCCTAGGTTTTTGGCCAAATGATTTGGGGTTCTCTTTGACCAAGTGGTTCAGGCTATAAATGTGGGTTCACAGCTCATCAAATTTATATTTTGTTTGAACTGGGACTATGTTTTTCTCCAATGGGCTTGTGTTTGAGGAGGGCATTAGCCTATGTGGGAATAAAGTTGGAACAAGTGTGGTTATTTTCTTCAAATTACAGGATAAGAAGGAATAGCTATTACCAGATCCCCTAAGAATGCCTATTCTTTGCTTATTCCCTAATTTGGAAGAAAATGATCAACCCTTTCGCTTCTTATTCCTTGCTTGTTGGGTACTTATTAATTTTACCATATTTTCATGGCTTGACAAAGGAATTGGTATTCCACCAACCAAGAATGACCATAGACAGTAAAATATTGTGTGATATTTACCGAACAATTTAAGCTTTTAGGTCAAAACAGTTCCAGACAGTGAATTTTGTTCAATGTGAAGATGGGGGAATAACATGATACTGATTACTTCATTTTTTTTTCATCCTAATTGTTTCTTAGATTTTTTTCATGCCATCTTATTCTTCTGGGCTCTTCACTTTATTCTAGGCTTGGTTGTTTGGTATTTGCAAAGCTGCAAGGTGATTTGTTTTTGGTGTCAGGTCAGTCATCATCCTATGATTGTTGCATGTCACTGTGAGGGGACAGGTTGGAAATTTTGGGGAGATAGTAACCTTAAGAGCAAATTTTGGGGGCGCTCAATTCAGGTTGATCCTGTTGGCATTTTGACTTTGAAATTTGATGATGGAGAGGTGTTCCAATGGAGTAAGGTAAGGACTCCAATAATTCAAGAAATATTACTTGTCAGTTGCAATTTAAAAATTCATGTTTCATTTCTTTGGTCAGGTTACGACATCAATATACAATCTCATCCTAGGAAAATTGTATTGTGATCACTATGGTACAATGCGAATAGATGGAAACCAAGGATTTTCATGTAAGCTGAAGTTCAAGGAGCAATCTATTATAGACAGAAATCCTCATCAGGTGATCTCTCATCTCTCTTAAGTAGTCTACTTCTTATATGACTTGAAAAATCATTTTTTTATAGCAATCTTGGAAATATTCTGTTTGTTAAAATCTTACAGAATGCTGTTGTTGGTAGTCCCTATTTATAAACAAAAAAAAAAAAAAACATTTTTTCAGGTACATGGTATAGTTCAAGATAGGAATGGGAAAACTGTGGCTACTTTGTTTGGAAAATGGGATGAGAGCATGCATTATGTGAATGGAGATTGTTCTGCAAGAAAAGGACAGGAGTCTCTATCAGAAGCCCATTTGCTCTGGAAGCGGAGCAAGCCTCCTAATTTTCCCACTAGATATAACTTAACACGCTTTGCCATCACATTGAACGAGCTCACTCCTGGCCTGAAGGTAATTATTAATAGAAGTTTATTTCACTTTTGAACTTTGACACCTAATTGTTATGGTTTGATTTTTGAACTTCTTCACTGGTCTGATGCTTCAGCTGGTAGTATGGAAACACCACTCCCCTGTCAATCTATTGTTCTTACCCTATCAAAGTGGGGAAAACCAGTTTCTATATTGCAGTTTTTGGTCCTTTGATTACTTGGACTCATTTTTCAGTGCTACACCTATTACACAAACAAATTTTTTTTTTTTATTTTAATTTCTATAGTGAAATTTTCAAATTGTGAAGATGTTAGAGAACACGGAATAATTTGGTGTCAATTTCAATACTATTAGCCCATTGCAAAAAATGAGATGGTTTTAAAGAATGTGCCGTCGGGATATGAATGCATTCCTTTTCTTTAAGTACACGGAACAATTTTTTTTGAAATCCTATTTAATCTATGAAGGAAAAGTTGCCGCCTACAGATTCAAGGTTGAGACCTGATCAGAGGTTTTTGGAAAATGGAGAATACGAAATGGCAAATTCTGAGAAATTGCGTTTAGAACTGCGACAACGGCAGGTGAGTTATGTTTAACGTATATGCTATGAACTCCTTTGGATGAGGTGATTTGGAATACAAATGTGTTCCCAGTTCAACATTCTTAAGTGATACTGACTCAAGGACACCAAGCACATTACTTCACTAAATTACCTATTGGAAAAGTGCATTGCACATTTGGGATCTATCCTGGGACCTATTCTTGTCTATTAATTGCTTTGGAAGTTCTGTGACATACTTACTTGGTTTTGTTGTCTCATTGGACTTCTCAATTGATGTCAGGCGCGGAAGATGCAAGAGAGGGGTTGGAAGCCAAGGTGGTTTGCAAGGGATAAAGGAAGTGATACGTATCAGTATACGGGGGGATATTGGGAGGCCAGGAAACAGGGGCATTGGGATTCATGTCCCAATATCTTTGGCCAAATCCCTAGCGATCAGATCATTGACTAAGGTTGGAACTGTGGTTCCATGATTCGTTTTCTCCATTTTTTTCCCACGATATATAGTGAAAAAGGGCGGCACATTTCTGCCAGATTCTTCAGCTAGCGTGAGGTTCCCTTTGGCAACCTATACAAGTAGATTAGAAAGATTCAGAAAAATAACAAAAGAAAATATTTTTGCTGGCTGCAGATTTGTATGTTGTGATGATGTGAGAATGATTCAAGGCAGAGGCACTTTCTTTCACTGTAAACAAAAAGGGAACTCTGTAGTTTGTATACTACATGTATACATACATTACAGGTGGGGTTCATGCCCAAACATGTCCATGCAATTCTAAAAGGCATTTACATGCTTACCTTATTTTCTTTAAACCATTTCATTCTATAGTACGAATTTTTCTCAGACGTAATTGAGGGAGGGAGAATAACATTAAAATGATTCAGACTATAAAACAGATATGGTTGAGGATCCACCCTATCAATGCAGCTGATGTTGCAGGTGTAAAAAATTTATATATTTGTAATGTTGAATTGTATGATGTAAAATAATTTTTAAAAAATTTTTGTATTCATTCCACTTATATACTTATGACTCAAATTTTAAATATCTTTCTTTTATTATATAAGAAATTACCATTACGTAGCTTATTGGGTAAGCTTAAATAGTTCATGAGACATTAATAATTTGTTAATTTGAGTAAAAAATATTCAATTCTTTTCTATAAAAGAACGTTAGATATAACTCATTTTAAATTACTCAAGATTGGTTTCCGAAAATTTTTGGTTAGCATAAAAAAAAAAAAAAAAGGCAAAAAAGACAGTTAGCTGAGTTGGAAATATGATATTTTACATCAATGAATGGAAGAGAGGAAAAATGTAATATCTAGGAAAGAATGTATAGATTTTTCAAAGTCATCATCATCGGCTTTAAATTCAACGACCAAGCAATTAACCAATCACCAAACTCTAATGGGATGTGAGTGAAAAAACTGGATTTTTTAAAATAAAATTTTGAATTTAAATATTGTAAATAAAAAAATAAAATTAAAATTTTTTTTAAATAGAGTTTAACGCAACTCTATTCTGAATAAATTAAAATCTAATGTGATGATCAGATATCAAAGTTAAAGATAAGAAAAAAACAGACTAATACTACTGTAATTTAGAAAATATAGTGGTTCCGAAGCTAATTAACAACTACTTTATTCTGATTTTTTTTTTTTCTAAAAAAAAGAAAGAAAAAAAGAAAAGAAAAAAGAGTTTGTATTGGCTTAACCAGAAGAACATAGACAAGACACGTCGAGTACATAGATGATGACTATGTCCCGTTGATGAGGCAACCAAGGTGGGCAGAGCAGGGCAAGGCAAGGGCCACCACGTCTGATTATTCGAAAGCTACATCGTGTTAGTAAGCAGGGTCCCCTTCTCACTCGACAGCTAAACATCGGTTCAAGCGGGCCCTCAGAGGTTTGCAGCTCATGCCCCTGCATCCGACCTGTTAAAGTGACAGTTTGGCTCTACATTATAACCAAAAACAAAATGTATATATTAACTCTGATTTTTTCTGGACCATTTTGGTTCAATTCTTAT